AGGTAAGAGCAATTTTGATATCATTAGGCACATACAGAAGAGTTGCAAGGATATTGCGAAGAACATCATATCACAGTTGTGTTATCACTGTCTCCCTCTCCTTCCCCTTGTCCCCATCCTTCTTGACTTTTCCTTAAGTCATTTAAGAGTAACTTGCAGACATCAATGGCCATTTGCTTTTGAATAGTTAGGGAAGCATTTTGGTAGGAAGTTAGAATAATAGAGTGAGGCTCTGTAGCTTTTGCTAAAATCAGACGTTGTTAGGAAAGCCAAGTTGGAAGGGGAGAGGGTAAAGAAATGTATTCTAACCTGCATTGTTTTAGCAAGTGACTTTTTTATTAGATTTACTTTAGGTCAATACAAATAGCAGACTTTTCTAAAGCAGCTTCTACTTACACTTTAGGTAAGATTAAGGAATGGTCAATTGTCTAGATTGAATAATACCATAGGAAGTGGGGATCGCTTTGATAGCTAACACTTCTGGTCACCACTCCTTCTTCATCCAAGAAACCTCAGGAGTGCCACAGCCTAATACAAAGATGATGAATCCAGAGAATGCTTATTAGCAGGTATAACGCTTTGTTAACTCTAAACCCACTTTTCAAAACTTTACATTTTAATCATTTTAATATGGTATCTCTGAAACACAGATGTATTTTACAGTGGTATAATTATAATAGGAAGCTCCTACCCTCACCCCTTAGTGCATAAAATGGTTCATCTTTAAAATTATGACTTGAGAACACACATATATATATATATATACACATTTCTGTGTTTCTCAGCCCTGTGTCTTCCAGGAGGAAGCAGAAACAGTTTGTGTGAGGCACAGAGGTTTTTTTTTGTTTTTTTTTTTTTAAGAGTTTCCCAAACTCTTTGAAGCTTTATTTATTTATTTATTTATTGGTACCGGGAATCGAACTCAGGACCTTGCACTTGCCAGGCAGGCGCTTGTGCTGCTGAGCTATATCCCCAGCCCTAGGCACAGAGTTTTGATATCAGTTCCTAAGAATCCTCTCAATTTGCAACACATGACGTGCAGCGCCCTCCTTCTGCCACTACCTCAGTCATCTTGGACACTTGGTGTGTCTTCTATTTCCCTTCCTCCTACCGACCAGCATGTGCTTGGTTCCTGCCCTGCCCGGCTCGATGGCGAAGGCTTGTCAGATGTGGCTATTTCTCTTCTGCGCTCCTCTCACTGCACATTTGTGTGTTTGTTGGAGACAGGGGTTGGAGGAGCAGAGTGCTCACCCATAATATCAGCATAGCGGTCATGCTAGAGAGAAGGGCCCCAAAGAAAGTGGACTTCAATCCTGGTAGCTTTCTTGGCAATTGGCTCCAGGAAAATGCACTTATCTGCTGATTTTTAAAATAATAACAGTGATGATGGTGATGATGATGATGATGATGGGTTTTCCTCTAGCCAAAGAGAATAACGAGCAGGAACACATACCTGGTGTAGGCAGTGGTGTTTCACTGGGTTCCTACCATGTTTCATCTATCTCTTTTCTGATGGCAGAACAGTGCTTAACCACTGGGTGGAACCCAATGCCACTCTGGTCCACCATAGTGCTTCTAGGACCTTGGAAGACAGAGGTGCTTGCTCACTGAAGGCGCCCCATGGCCTGCTTCCCCCCGCACATGGAGATGTGGCAGAGCAAAGCCCAAGCAGAGACAAGCAGAAGCAGAGACGAGGTAGAGCCTGGATCCTTCCATACTGTAAGGTGCCACAGTTATTCTTCTCTGCCACATGAGCTAGCACATTCCTGTCCTGCTTAAATGAGCTTAAACTGCTCCTTGGAATCAATGCAGCATAAGGTATTTAAAACCTCTACTTTAAACTCTCCTCTAGCTTAACTGTTCCTTTTGAAAATTGTTTGCAGCCCATAATTCAAGTTTGAGTTTGGGAAGTGAAATCCCCATATTGTGTGCTGCTGACTGAAAGGAAATCCTTGGGTCTTACGTCCCTGCTTTTGTTGAAAAGTTGTAAAGATTATTAATAAGACTGATGTGGATTCTCATTTTAGGCAGAGCCCCATCTTGAGCTGGATCAGGGGCACAAATAGGCTGCTTTGGATTTATCCAAAGTCTTCATCAGCTTCCAAGGAAGCCTTCCCATGAGTTTTGCACTATAAATCCTGGAAGAACCCGAAGCCTGAGGATTCTGAAGCTGCACCACTGTCGGTGGCTTTGGTTTGCCATATTTAATGAGGGCCTATCATTCTGACAGCATTTGCCAAACTGGTTTGAGGCATGTCCTAGAACAAGAGTTGAGCCCAAGGACATTCCTTAGCTATTAGCTGTGGCAGGAAGGCATGCATCTAGTTGATCTGAAAACTGGAGGAGTTGAACAGAAGGTTTTAGGAACAATCTTGCTTTATATTTTTAAAAATTTATTTTAAAAATAAAAGAAGGAGAATACTAACAAACAGACATTTATGTACAAAATAGCATAAGAACAATACAAGCAATACTGAATTACAGACAAAGTAGTAGGGAATTAACAATGCTTGTGTTACATACTGATATCTTCAAAGTTTGCTTTATATTTTTAAAAATAGAAACTTACTTGGTATGTAGGCAACTTCCATCTGCCCTCATCCTTGCAGAGATACTATGATAAAGGCTTTCAGGAATGCTGACAGTTCAGAATTGGCGTCAGCCCACTGATAACTTCCAGCCATTAAAAGCAAGTGAGAGATTGATGCATGCAGCAGTTCTGAATTATTAAGTAAGAGTCTTGCTAAAGTTGAGCATTATAAGATTGCCACGAAACTCATTCCAAAGGATATTGCTATGGTTTGAATATGTCCTCCAAAAATTCATGTGTTGGGACTTTAATTCCTCAGTGCACTATCGGGAGGTAGAGTTTCTGGGTGCCTTTCTCAGGTAAGCAAGTTCTACTCTAGTGGGAGCCTCCTCTGTCCTCAGGTGCCTGCTTCCCTCCCGTTTCCTGCTGAGATGTGGGATGGTGCTCGTTCCTCACTGTGCAGAAATTGGCACCATGCTCTTAAACTAACCAACCTGCAGAACTATGAGCAAAAATAAACCTCTCTAAATACCCAGGCTCGAGTGTTTTGTTACAGCAACAGAAAAGCGATTCAAACAGACAGGTAGCTAACAGGGCTCAGAAAGTCATGCTTATCGCAGACTAATACAGTTGCCCCCAAGTCACCTCATCACCAGTCTGAGGATGGCGCCTCGGTGTGTGAAATCCCTCCCAGTGAATCCCTCCTTCGCTGTAAAAGTACCGAAGATTTTTACAAACAACACATTTTCTCAGCAGCTAGGTTTTTATCCTAAGAAGTCAGAGTCTCTCAAACACTCCTTTGTTTCCTCCTAATGTAATCAGTTATTGCAACCTCAGCCAAGAGCCTCAGTGTGCAGGCCTCCCACACAACCAATTTTATTGCAGAGGAAGCACACCGTTTCTTTTCATGATCCTCAGAATCCTGTTATGAAGACAAGAGCAATGAACTTTTTCTAGCTGATTTTTAAAAGGAGCATAAGAAAGAAGGCATCTGAGGCACTTATCTGAGATTTTCTTCTGTGTAAACCTAAAGTAGGACTCTGTAGCTTCAAATCTCCTCTTCACCTCTTGGCAGCTGTGGATAAGTCACACAGCCTTTCTGAACCCGTGTCCTTATCTGCAAAAGCCGCACTACAACAGGATTTACAGGGCGGGCAGTGCTCAAAGCAGTAGTTTGATCCGGGGTAAATGTACATTTACACCCAATGACCCTGAGGTCAGGAGATGCAATTCCTACTTGATTAACTAGACACATCCGGCCTCTTTCCCCAGCCTCCCGGAGATCTGTTCTCTCGGGTGCCTTTGAGTCTTTAGGGAAAGGTGCAGTCACTTCCCGGACTCAGGGCCTCTGACATCCCTTTAGAAGGAAGTGCCCTCACTGCGCGCACTAGCGCGGTGGTCGGAAACTGAGCTGAGTTCCCGAAGGCGGCAACGCGCGCCCCACGCCGGCCTGCTGGTGGCAGCTCTGGACTCCTCTCGCCGGAGCCGGCGGGCGCGGCAGTGCGTGCGCAGCAGAGGGTGGTGGCGGCAGGCACCCCGCCCTGGGCTGCAGCCCCGGCGTGTCAGGTGCCGTGAGAAGCGCGGGAGGGGCAGCCGCGAGCCGCGTCCAGGGAGATGACTGCAGCCGACTTCCCAGAAGCTGCGCACGCAAGGCACAGCTCCGCACGCAAAGGGGAGGAGACAGCAAAACTTTTCAACCCGGCTGCGCTCGCCGGCGCGTGGGGAGCTGCCTCCTCCCATTCACGCCCCCCGCGCCCGTCGCGGGCCCCAGGGACCCTGGCGCGCCCTGCCTGTCGGCTCCCCCGCCTCGGGGGTCCGCTCCGCGCTGCTTCTCGCTGGGCGCCGACCGCCTGGATGCCCGCGGGCGGCGCCACCTGGACTCGGTTCCCCGCGGGAAACCTCCGGCCCGCCGCGCCCCGCGAGTGCGGAGTGCAGGCCTTTGTGCGCCCAGGGATAGTCCGGGCCGGGGGAGCCGCTTTTTTCAGGGTTTCCTGATTGCGCCCAAGAACTGCAAAGCGAACTTTTTCATGTCCAAGGCCACAAGGGTGGGTCCAGCTTGTTTGGGAGAATTTAAAATCTAAGCAATGAGGCAGACTGCGACTATAACCCGAGCATCCCCCGTTTCCAACTGGACAAGTTTCCCTTCCCCGCTCCAGTGCCAAAGGCGCAGGAACGGATTTTGCTTGGGAAATGAAACCCAAGTCCCGGACACGAGAAAGAGGTCGCGCTCCGGGGCGTGAGGCGCGCTGAGACCCAGAGCAGAAGCAGGGGCCTTGGCTGGGTTGACTGTGACTAACTAAGAGCCGTGATCCCGCAAACTTTACTCCGCCGCTCCCGCATAAGTTGCCGGCTGCGGCTCGCGGACCAGGCGCATCCGTGGGAGGGGGAGTCCCAGCCCCGCCCCCCATAAGTCCCGCCCCGCCAGGTCCCGCTTCCTCGGCTCCTGCCCGGTCCTTAAAACCGGGAGAAGTGGGTGATGCGTGTTGTCTCCGGAGTGGGCGCAAACCCCAGCCGTGAGAGCCGCCTAGAGGGTATGAAGGCTGGGAACTGACTGCATGCATCGACCCCGCGCCTTCATCCCAACGCCTGGAGAAAACCTTGGCTTTGCCAGAGCTCCTGATACCACCGGGCTCAGCAAAGGAGATACCTTTCTCCGTTCCCCTCCCAATCCAAGCACTCTTGGTTCTGACGACGCCAAGAGACTTGAGTGGGTGCTACAGCCCCCAAGAGCGGGCAGCAGGTGTTCAGGGAGGGCCGCCAGGTTCCTGACGACCTTCGGGTCCAGCACAGGTCCCGACCCCTCCTCGGAGCCCGCTGTCCCGCGCCGCTGGAGACCGTGCTTCTCCACAGGTCAGTCTGTCCGCAGGGCCGCCCTCCAGCCCCCGTTCAGCTGGGTTCCTGCAGGTCAGGTGCGGGGCGGCGGGCACTTTAAAGGAAACCAAGAGCCACTGCCTAGGTGCCGGCGGTGTCGTCTCTGCATCACCGGACCGTTATGGGCTGGAGGTGCAGAGGCTGTGATGAGTCACGGAGACAGAAGCACGCCCTTCCCTTCTGCCCACAGAGCTTGGGTGGGTAGGGGTGTCTTCCTTCCCTTCTGCAGAGAGCCACCCTGACCAGGCCCATGCAAGCCTCCTGCCCACCCGCGGGCACAGCCGCTGGGGTCTGGGCGTGGGGCGCGCACTCTTTCTCAGCACACCTCAGTGTTCCGCCTCTGCCTTTCTGTCCCCAGCATGGCCCTCAGCGCGGACGATCCGCTGCAGCCGAGCCTGCTGTCCACCCAGCAGACCACGCTCCTGCTGCTGCTCTCGGTGCTGGCCGCCGTGCACGTGGGTCAGTGGCTGCTGAGGCAGCGGCGGCAGCCCTGGTCCTCGCCCCCAGGCCCTTTCCCGTGGCCGCTGATCGGAAACGTGTCCGAGGTGGGCCGGGCGTCTCACCTGTCCTTCGCACGCCTGGCGCAACGCTACGGCGACGTCTTCCAGATCCGCCTGGGCAACTGTCCCGTGGTGGTGCTGAACGGAGAGAGCGCCATCCACCAGGCCCTGGTGCAGCAGGGCGCCGCCTTCGCTGACCGGCCGCGCTTCGCGTCCTTCCGCGTGGTGTCTGGTGGCCGCAGCGTGGCTTTCAGCCCCTACTCGGAGGACTGGAAGGCGCAGCGGCGCGCGGCGTTCAGCATCATGCGCGCCTTCTCCACGCGCCAGCCGCGCAGCCGCCGCATCCTTGAGGGCCACGTGCTGGGCGAGGCGCGAGAGCTGGTGGCGGTTCTCGCGCGCGGCAGCGCGGGCGGAGCCGGCCTCGACCCGACGCAGCCGATCATCGTGGCGGTGGCCAACGTGATGAGCGCGGTGTGCTTCGGCTGCCGCTACCACCACGACGACGCCGAGTTCCTGGAGCTGCTGAGCCACAACGAGGAGTTCGGGCGCACGGTGGGCGCGGGCAGCTTGGTGGACGTGATGCCCTGGCTGCAGCTCTTCCCCAACCCGGTGCGCACCACCTTCCGCCAGTTCCAGCAGCTCAACCGCAATTTCAGCAACTTCGTCTTTGACAAGTTTCGGGGGCACTGCGAAAGCCTGCGACCTGGGGCCGCCCCGCGCGACATGATGGACGCCTTCATCCTCTCCAGCGAAAGGAAGGCCGCCGAGGGCTCCAGCGAGGTCGGGGCGCGGCTGGACATGGAGAACGTGCCGGGCACCATCACCGATATTTTCGGCGCCAGCCAGGACACCCTCTCCACCGCGCTGTTGTGGCTGCTCATCCTTTTCACCAGGTAAAGCCTCTGGAAGGCGTGGGGTGGGCTTTCTCTCCCCCGAGGGTGTGGGGTGTGGGGTGTGGGGTGGGGGGACGGAGTGGGGCTGGCGGATGCTGCGGTCACAAGCAGAGCGCGGAGTTTGAGGCTTCTCCCCGGGACCCCACCCCTCCAAACTGATTCAGCGACCCTAAAGCGACGCCCAGTCAGGGACAGTACAGGTGGAGACTCGCCCGCGCGCCGCACCTGGAGCTGCCGGGATCTCCCCGCACCTCGGATCTTGTTTCCTGCTCTCTCCCGCTTGCGAGCGGGACGCGTTTGTGAGACCGCCGCCTCCCCACCACCACAACCGCAAAACATGATTTTCATAACGCCGGCAGATCAGTTCTCACATCCGACTCGCTAGCGCAATAGAAGCACAGTTCGGAAGGGTTCCAGTAGGAAGAGAAAGGCAGTAAATACGTTAAATAAACACGGCCCAGTAATCCGCACGGATCAGAGGGCACCCAGCTGCCACCGAGAATCAGGGATGGGTTCCAGGGCAAGGGAAACCCGCGGAGGCCGGTTGCGAAGCTAACACGCTCGGGGGCTTTCGGAGGAGGCCAGAAACCAGCAAGCAGGTTTGGGTTCATAAAACCGCTTCTAGGAAGGACCGAAGTTATTAGGTAAAAGAACAGCGGGAGAGGTCCCTTTTGAGGAGTGCGAATGACATCCGGAGTGGAGAGTGCAGGGTAGCTGGGAGGCGCCTATGGCCTCCCTGACTTCTGCGCGGGGTTCTGCAGGCGCCCACTGCCTGCTCCAACACGAGACGATGAAACAGGCCCCTGTGTCAGGTTGCCAGACTAAGCAAAGAAAAAATAAATTCTACATGGGATATGCTTGTCCTCAAAGATGCTATTGCTTACCTGAAATTCAGGTTTGATCAGGCTACTTGTGTTTTATCTAGAATCCCTACCCTCGGGATAAACGCATTCAAGGCAAATCGCAGTTGCCTACCACACCAGAAATCCTGGTTGTGGCATTAAATTTCTCAGAGCTCAGTCAGGCAGTCTGGATGCTGAATGTCCTGGTGACCCTGGATTTGGAAGACAGAGGTGCCTTCTTATGGGTACTCACTACATTCTAGATTTCCTTACGTTTTGTACAGGTATCCTAATAAATTAAACACTTTTGTATATTAAACAATAGCTTTTCGGTTTTAAAATCATGAAACACATATTGGGAGGTGGGGAAGGGAGAAATAAAGAGAAGTCAACCATAGTTCAGGAAAAAGGTCTCCCCAGAACGGGTCTTACTCATGCCTACAGAAGCATCTTATCTATGGAAACAGGCTATTTTTAAAATTTATTTCTATTAGAATGGAACCGTAAAAAGTTTTTCTTATATTCAATTGGACAGCAAAAGGAAATAAAACAATTTTGGGGTTACATTCAATTAAAGCTGGTACATACTTTCTGCTTCTTTGTAGTGAAAAGACAATCTGGTAGATATTAGTAAATTATAGTACCTGCTTCTGGATGTAAGTTTCATTGAAACAGCCCCGTCTGTTCATTTATGCATTGGCTGTGGCTGCCGTCACATTACAACATAAGACAGAACTGAACAGTTTACGCAGTGAGAATTTGGTCCACAAAGTCTGAAGTATTTATTACTTGGAACTTTGTGAAAAAAGTTGGCAGACCTCTGAAATTTGATGTTGAAGTGATTTTAAAAGTCACCCATAATTTCACCACATCCACGCTTACATTTTTTTCTGAGTTACATCAGTTGTTATGTGGGTTTTTTGTTGTTGTTATTTGGACTTTTGCTTATTGTAGTGGACATTTTCCCCTAACATTTATTTTAGTAATTTTTGATGGCTACAAATCATGTTGCTGTAATAACACACAGATGATTAATATCACTTCTTGAGTTTAACATTCATCATTTACTTTGCATTTTATTTATTTTTTATTTTTTTATTTTTTGGTTTTTTTCCGGTACTGGGAACTGAACTCACGACCTTGCGCTTGCCAGGCAGGCGCTTTTGCCGCTGAGCTAAATCCCCAGCCCCTACTTTGCATTTTAAATTTTAGCTATTGCTGTATTTGTATACAACTGTACCTTTTAATTACTTTCTGAAAATACATTTATAAGAGTGGATTATTGTGTTTAAAATGAGGAAGAGGAGGGGGCAACCTTGCTTTGTACTAAGATTTTGTTTTCCAAAAGAATTGTACCATTTTCTATCTGCAGTAGCACATAAGTACTGCAGTCTGTACCACAATCTTACAAACACTGAGAACTTGCTCTTAAGTTTAGGAAAGGCATAGTTTTATCTATTCTAATTCCAACAATCTTTTGTAAGATCAGGACAAGAAGTCCTTCGAAATGAGAGGAAGAAAAACATCCGCTTTCAGGGCTGCATTGTAACTTGTTTGGGTCTTGGATGCTTTTGCCATTGTAGACTATTCACTCTGTAAAAATTTAAAAATTATATTTTATGACTACATAGATATAAAAATGTATCAAAATTACATATTCAAACATTTTCTTCTCCCTAAAGATTATTTTTTAGGTCTGAAGATTTTAAGACGTGAAAACATTTTTGTGGGCCCTTAAAAAGTATTGTGGGCCCAGCAGTGCTGGAAGCCTGGTGGATCAGTTGGCTTGGCCAATATTGTGCATTTTTATACTGGGAAAACTTAAGAAGTTTTTGAGCTACTACGAGAGAGAGAGAGAGACAGAAAGAGAGAGCTTTAGCCATGTGAGGCTTACTATAGAAAATGTAATTGTTAAAGTACATCTTATAATTTAGAGAGAAATTAACAGCTGTTTTAGTTCTCCCCTCTAAAATATGAATTTAGTCACTTACCTGGACAGGATATTTAGAAAAAGGTGGAATTAAAATGAATTATAATGTGTTTCTAGGTGAAAAAGGAGTTAATTTTGTTCACTGATGTTTTTCTCCCTTTACAATTAAAAACCGAACAGATATCCCGACGTGCAGGCTCGAGTGCAGGCTGAATTGGATCAGGTTGTGGGAAGGGACCGTCTTCCCTGTATGAGTGACCAACCCAACCTGCCGTACGTCATGGCCTTTCTTTATGAAACCATGCGATTCTCCAGCTTTGTACCTGTTACTATTCCTCATGCGACTACTGACAATGCCTTTGTCTTGGGCTACTACATCCCTAAGAACACGGTGATTTTTGTTAACCAGTGGTCTGTGAATCATGACCCAGTGAAGTGGCCTAACCCAGAGGACTTCGATCCAGCCCGATTCTTGGACAAGGATGGCTTCATCAACAAGGACCTGGCAAGTAGCGTGATGATTTTTTCAGTGGGCAAACGGCGGTGCATTGGGGAAGAGCTGTCCAAGATGCTGATGTTTCTCTTCATTTCCATCCTAGCTCATCAGTGCAATTTCAAGGTCAGCCAAAATGAGCCCTCAAAAATGAGTTTCAGTTACGGCCTGACCATTAAGCCCAAGTCCTTTAAAATCCATGTTTCTCTCAGAGAGTCCATGGAGCTCCTTGATAATGCTGTCCAAAAGTTGCAAGACGAGGAAGCTTGCCAGTGAGAAGCCAGAGGCAAGCTGATGTTTTAGAAGTGTTTCAGTCTTGGAGAATAGGAAGGAAAACTCAGAATTTGTTTTAGTTCCTCTTAGGTGCCACTAATCAGCCTCTATGGTGGGCATAAATTAAGTGGCTTACAGATGAGGTGTGTTTCACACTGAATAGCTCCTCATAAGCCCTGGACTCTGCAGGAGCTTTGGAAGATTTTTTGAGTCAAATAATTTGAGGGCCCATGGAATTTTTATATATTACTAGATCCTGGTAATAATTTCTTAAGAGGCATTCTTTGGAATTAAACCCTACCACCACCACACACATGCACATACAGGTAGCTAATGAAGGAGTATTTCAGTAACTGTCTTTTTAGGTGGAGCCAAGATTGAGTGTGCATGTGCAGAAATATACTCCACAAAAAATTGTACTAAGCAGTGTTTCAGAAAATAATGAAGATGCAAAGGCAAATAATTTCAATGTAAGACATGATTGGGAGTGACAAAGGAAAAGGATAGAGACCAAAAATTACCTTCCCACCTTTTCGGTAAAACAGCTTCGCTAGATTGTAGCTATTTGGGTGGACTTTCTTTTTGTCTACTGATGTGCTTTCCCTACTTTAGCATGAATCAAAAAGTCAGCTGTTCAAAAGGAAATTAACAGTCCGTATAATAATTGTGAGTTTCAGACATGTATTATGAATTTTAAAGTGCCAATTCAATTATCGTAGTGAGTTTCAGAGATTTATCATGAATTTTAAAGTGACCATTGTGAAACTAAAATTCCAAGCTGAAACTGTACTTCTCTTGATTGCCAAACTATAGTATTTCAATTATGAGGGCAAAAAAATTTGCCAGTCCAGCTCTTGATATGTGATTATGTGTACTCATTACAGTAAGTTTCATGGGCTAAAAAAACTTATGTCACCAAATAGTATTAAGTATGTGTATTATATACATATTTGTTATATAATGCAGTGTGTTACTATCAATTATTTTCACTAGGAAAAGCTTCAATAATATATGTCTTGCATACCATTGTACATAAAAAAGTAGAGCCAGTCCAGTGACATGTGGTCCAAGTACATGAAATGAACCACCTAATTTTGACATCATGAAAACCAAGGCAAAGCAAAAGATCTTTCCTTATCCAAGTTTTGCAATGGACAAATCTCAAAATTATGTCAGTTAAATGTTCATATTTGTTATTTAAATTAAAATTATATTTATAATACAAGTTCTTCTTTGGCAATTGGCCCGATCAATGTGTTAAAATTCCAAACTCTTGCATGTGTAAATTTAAATTTAATTTAAAATCCAATCTGATTATTGAGTGCCAGTTGAAGCCAGCGGAAATCTAACTAATGTCCTGTAGAAGGCAAGACAGCTAACCAGGGCAATAGTGAAAAATGCCACGTATGATCTGGCTTTTCTCTTCACTGAGTAATGGCAGGGGGAGTGGACTCCCATTATAGCTGGCTGGTTTCTCTTTTAAATGATTAACAAAAGTTCAGCATTAATGTCTGTTTTTAAATGTCAGAATCAGAACATCCTTTCGGAGGTTGTTTTATGAATGGAATTGTAAGACAGTGGACGGGTCAGATTAGGTGTTATTTGGGAGCTATTAGTTTGGTAATTCAGAAATAAAGCTGGAACAAAATGTGTGTATCTGGATTATAGAAATAACTTGAAAACCTTTCAGAGAAGTGATGGAAGAGTGCAAAAATACAAAGGGAGGTTCCATATTTTTATTTTCATTGCAACTCAGCTCCCAAAAGAAGTCCTACAGGGTCCTGAGAGCACATTGCTTGCTGTTTTATTAAGATTTTTGGAATTTTTGTATCAATATTACCAAGGAAGGAGTGTATGGTGGTTTTGTATGTGGGTGGTCAGGCAAAAGAAGGGCAGAATGAAAAGGAAGAAGGATGACTAAGTATTTTCCTACCCATTCCAAATTAATTTAACTGAAGTGCAAGATTTGAAGCATGCACATTTAGAAAAAAGTTGTTTGGTGTGCCAGTGTTGAATCTCAAGTAGATTTCTAAAAAATCCACAACATAGCAGAAGTATTTCATAGTTTGGAATACTGACTTAATAAACATTTCATCTAATTTTATTTTTTAATATTTCATAGTTTTACCTTTTGAATATGAAAAATTATGCCAATATTTTAAAGACATTAAAGTCAATGATAGAAATGAGACTTAGCCAATGCATATAAGTTTTTTAGGCACTGGCTAGTCCAAAATGTTATGGCTTACAGTGATGTTGGGCTCCTATAGCTTATTTACTCTGAAAGATCTTTGTAATAGCAAAAGTAATCATGTACCAATCTGGATGCCTCATTCATCAACAAGTTCAGAGGTGCTATAATCTGTTTTTATGTACATAGGTTTGACTATCATCTGATGTTTGAGGCAAAGAGAAAGCTGTGCTTAAATGGGAAGAAGCAGGTGGGTGCGTGGAGGTTACCTGGGTTACTGAGTATGTTTATCAGTCAAAGGAAGAAAAATAAAACCAAATATAAAAAATCCAAACGTTTAGGCTGCAGTAATTGGATTACTGGCTTAATCAGAAAAGTTTTTATTTTTCTCCCAGAGATAGACCGTATTTACTGATCACCACTAAAGTCAGAACATCTATTTCATGTTATCACAATAGTTGAAGTATATTGTTTATTATATACATCATTTATATTTTAAGGCTTTGACTGTTCAAGAAAAGTGCTTTTGTTCCAAAATAAAAAGATATCTCAGGTGTGTTTTGTGGATTATCTAAAAACTTTCATGTCCCAGAACTTAGCCTTTACCTGTGAAATGTTACTACGCCCTTTTTTATACTAGATCTATATTAGATCAAGTAGTTGCATAGCTGTATGTATTACTTTGTATGTTTTTAGCTATAACACAACTTCGTGATTAAAAAGATATACTTTAGTAGGTGGTTATAACTCAAGAATAACTATGTAACCATTTGTTATTTTTGTACTTTGTCATGTATGCTTTTAGCATGAACATAGCAGCTACATGTACATGGTTATAACCAAAATAGATTTTGAGGCTACAAAATATATGTTTGATATATCAAATTTTTAAAAAAATCTATACTTGTGTTTATATATAGTGGGACACTGTTGCCAAAATAATAAAGTCACATTTATAATTTGATGAAGTTTCATTTTACATTGCAGCAAATACAGTGTAATGCATCCATTTATTTCTACTATTACTGTGTATTCTTGAACTAAAATATTGCATCATAGCATTGATTCTCTTGTGTTTTTCAAGTGTGACTAACAGGTTTTCATGCCACTGTGTGAGATGCGTTTCTCTCAAACCCTGTTACAACCTCTGCATGTCACCCATTTTATATGTGGGGAAAAAAAGTAAAAATAAATTGTATTGTAAACCTTTTATTTAGCTGTTCTAAATTTTAAGCTCTTGGCTTCCTCTTTTTGTTGTGTAGCAGTCTTTTGGCTTGCACTTTTCTACCAGATTTCTGATCGCTATATTTTATAATTTATAAAAAGCAATAAGGGGTTAACTTTGAATGGTAAACAGCCAAGCAAAATAAGAATTAATTTGCAGATTTTGAAAGGTTGAACTGATCGTTACTTTAAGATGCTGACCTAATATTTCTGCTTCATCTGAAAAATACAGGACACATTTTTCCTGCTCAACAGCACACTAATCCTGTCTCTAAGTGTTTCACTCATTCCTTTTTTAAGGTACATGTGTCTTAATTAGGAAGTGCAGTTGCTGTCCAATAAAACAGAATGGATGAGAGAGCTGTGTATGTACTAGGTGGAAATATCTTTCTTCTGACCTTTTTACTTGGTAAATTACTTGGTGCCCCAGGACCTCCAGACTCACAGATGTTAGGGCTACGCAGTGCCACAGGCCCTTATTGGTTCCAGACTATAGCTCTTACTATTGCCAAAACAGGAAAAGAAGCAGTGGGGTAAAGGTTGTGCTCAATATCATTGATATTTTGGCTTGGGTACATTACTTTAGCAGTCAAAGGGATGGCTATGAATTACTTTTGGAGAATACTCACTTCTTTTCTAGATATACTATAGAAAGATCTTGGAAATGGTCATGCTGGTTCAATATGAGTGAAAGAACTATTCTCACGGGGAAAAGTTCCTTAAAAAAATTTAACTGGGGTCAGACTTTTGCAAAACTGTCAAGCAGTGTTGCTTTTCACCCAATTAGCCCAGTACTATATTGTGTAAGGCTGGATGCAGGCGGGAAATGAATGCAGCTTTGGACATAAGATAGATGCATAAAATAGATGTGGTCACTGGAAACTCACAGAGGTCAATACTGTAACCGCAAAGCCAGTCCACTTTTGTACACAAGTGCCACCCCTCCCACTCTCTCCATTCATTACAATGTGCTTAACGTGTACTCTGCATGTTCCAGAAAAACTTGGAAAGGTTTTTTTGGTATAAATGTGTTAATTTACATAAGTACTACACCCATCTCATCCTGTGATGCATTCTTTCCTTAGCATAATATTCTAAAGTCTCATCCCTGTATAACCTATGGTTTCTAACTGCTGCCTTGTACTGCATGATATTTATCCACCCTTTATGGATTTATCCATCCATATATACATTTTCTCTATCTACCCTCTGGGCAATAGATAGACATATGGCATCCAATTTTAGGAGATCCCAAATAATACTGCAAGGAATATCCTTCTATGTGTATGTGTTTCCTGGTGGACCTATGTAAGATTTGTAACATATGTCATACCTAGGTTTAGATCTGCTGAGTCAGCAAGTGTGAGTATGTAATTTAAATACTACAAGTATGTGCTCCAGGATGCCAAATAAGTTTATCCTCCCTTCAGCTGTGTATGAGAATTCCACTGCACCTATCTCCCCACATGGCATGACATCTTTATTTTACATATATACATCCTGTTGGTAGAAATTATATACTAAATCAATTTTTCAACCAGGCAAATAGAGAGACATCTGTGCTCATTTTTCTATACCTCTTCTAGCTGTATTTGTACTTCTATCACCTCTCTTCTTTTAGATAGTACATTTATTGAAAATCATGTACTAGGTCCCACCAATTTTGTTCCTGAATGATCTTGTGCATGTAGAAGCAAGAGTAATGAAAAGTGGAGTGAATGCTGTTGATTTGTTGTGGGACACTGGTGAGATCATGTTTACCACAACTTAATTTTTAATTGGTGCCTGTGTTACTTGGTATTCCATCACTGTCACAAAACACCCAAGAAAATCAACTTGAAAGAGGGAATATTTAATTTGGCTCACAGTTTTGGTGGTTTCAGTTTATGGTTTGTTGGCCTGTTGCTCTTGGGCCTGTGGTGAGGGAGCACATGGTGCCAGCATGTAGTGGGGAAAAGTTGCTCATCTTGTGGTGGCTGGGAAGGACAGACAAAGAGAGGGAGGGGCCAAGCTCCCAGTATCCCTTTCAAAGATACACAGTCAACAGCCTAACCACCTTCTACTAGGTTCCTCCTCCTGATGGTACCCCATCTCCCAGTAGTGTCATAGGCTCAGGACCAACCATTTAATCCATAACTCTCTGGGCACACTCCAGCTAAAAAGTACAAGAGTACCTGTAGGTCTAATCTTAATTGTTTTTCTCTGTCATATCACTGAACTTATTTGAATTTTTAAGGTTTTGGTTCACTCATTATGCATGTATGTGTACTTACATGTATCTAAGGACATATGTATAGGCCAGCGATATTTACTATTACTTTGGGGGATACAATTTATTTTAAAATCTATCTTCATTTAAAATGTACCACTGTGAAATACCTCTATAAACCTACTAGAGTGGCTAAGTTTAAAAGACGCAAGCAAACTGATAATACCAAGTGCTGAGAAGGATGTAAAGCTCCTAGAACTTTCATACATTACTGAGAAGAGTGCAGCATGGTACAGTGTGACCTCATATCTAGATTTTTATCCTCAAGAGATACAAACACATTCACATAAAAGGTAGGCACAAGTGTTTATGGCAGCTGTATTCATGATTGTCCCAAACTGGAAAAAAAACTTAGGTTTCTTTCAAAGGGCGATTGTCTAAACAGAAGATGGTACATCTACACTATGGAGTACTGCTCAGCAATAAAAGGGGGTGAACTGTGAATGCATGCAACAACATGGATGACCCTCCCACGACTTAAGTTGAGAAAAAATTCGTTTTCCAAAAGATCTATAGTTATGATGTAAATACCAGACTCAAAGAGTTAAAATTTAAGTGATGGACAACAGATCTGTGGCGTTAGCTACTGTTGCCAAGGGTTAGAGTAGAGTGAAGGATAGCGAAGTGGAATTGTTGGGGGTGGTTCCTGACTGTGGCAGTGGTTATGTGGATGTATATTTGTATGAAAACTCATAAAACTATACCAAAAATAGTATTAACATTTGGGATTAAAGTGATTAAAGTTTGGAGAAAAAGTTTAAAAGGGGGTTGGTGCAAATGAGTTTCAATGTAGCTGGACAGTTTGGCACACAGCACTGGGGCTCCTGGCAGACACAGAAACACTGAACAAGGAAAGTCAAGCTCAAATGTGTGAACAAGGGTCATGTTAACATCACATCTTTACAGGTTAAAGGGTGGGGAGGTGGTGACCGCTTTTAGAGGCACAGTAGGAAATAGACCACTAGCCTCTGGAATGAGAAACGGCAACTAAAGCCATGGGCTGAACCTTCCACCTAAGGTAATTTTAATTCAGTGTCATAAGTGTTAATCAAGCATTTACTAAGTGAAGGTATTGTCCCGGGCACTGGAGGGATAGTAATAAATGTCCAGACCCTGAGCTCATGGAACTAATATTCTAGTGGGATGGGTGAGGGGAGAGGCAATATATATGGTTTCAATTAATTGTAAGTGCTGTAAAGTCAATAAAATGGGAGGAGAGCTGTTTAGAATGAGCAGTCAGGAAGTCTTTCTAAAGGTGACAACACCAAGGAACAGAGGCTTTATGGGCAAGCATAATCTTGCACCCTATAAGAAGGAAATACTGAGTTGTTAGACAATAAACTGATAACCAACAATAGTAACAGAAGAGCTGATTGCAGCTCCATTAAATTGATTGCACGGCCAATTCCAATCTGGGCAGCTAAAGTAAATAATCTTAGCATACCCCATGACAGATGTGACGGGCAGGTCCTCAGTCCATGCTAAATGGTCTGGCATGGTCTAGACTATTTTCTATCCTTGACTCCAAAGTTCATTTCCTATCAGATTCCTCGTGAAGCACAGAAGCAATTCTTGCAAATCCAGAGAACATGCTTTGGGAGTGAACATGCTTTTCAACAATGTCTTTAAAAATATGAGTTATAATTTAATTTTATATGCATCAAATTAATTCTCTGAAGTCCTTAGTGGACCTTCTGAAATATTTCATAGACTCTGCTTCTGGCCTTTGAATACAGTTTTTATTATATCTGGTTGAAAAGGATCTCCACCAGAAGCTCAGTGAGGTTGCTAAAAAGAGCAGGCAGTTTGGATTTACGTACTTCCTGTGTGCTGTGTGTACGGTAAGCTTTTCTTGCTGGTAATTTTCTGTATTGTTTCACCACAGGACTCTTGCCATTGTCTGGGCCGTGGGACACCAGCAGTTGGGTTATACCCAGCTTTGAGAGGCCACATGTCTCCCTGAACCATTTTGGTAAAAGTTGTTCTTCTGGATCTGGTGGATATTCATGAAATGCAGGATGTTCTCTGCTTGCCCTTTCCTATGCCCCTTCTGTCTCTCTCTTGGCTCACGTTTCACTGCTGTTCCCCCTCAGTCAGGCCAAAGGGTCAATTCTCTTCTCTTACTGCCCTTCTCATCCATCACCATTTCAATTTAAGGCTGTACTTCTGCAATTTTCAGAGGCCCCAAGCAAATCCAGCTGTCACGTTGCTATATGAGAGCTCGGCATTGACAGTGAGGAGGAGAGTAGGGGAACTCACTAGGAAAAGCAGTGCAAGAGGTTTCTTTTTTCACTGTGTTTTCCAGCATGGTTTAAAAAGGGCAAGCCTGCATGTCCCCTTGTTTTAATTTCTAATTTCAAGAGATAGCTCTGGGAGCACCTATTTTTTTGTTAGTCAAAACTGTCTTCTTGTCTCATTGCCCCTCCCGGGCTCATTTTCTTTGTGACAATGTGTAGGGAAGTTAGACAGTCATACAGATGCACTTTTGGCTCAGTGGAGTGCAGAATTATTCCCACTTCTTTGCCCAGTCTGCTCACTTCTGTCTGTCTTGGACTCAGGTCTCACCTTCCTAATGAAGTCTTCCGTGACCATTCTGCTTAGTATTTATCCACTCGCTCAACACCCTCTCCCTTACTCTAGTTTTTTCTTTCCTGTACCTCTACTCCAGTGTTTATTTCCTGTTAATACAACATAAAATTAGCCTTGTAATTTTGCTTAT